ACTCATAAGCGAGGAAGATCAAGGGGGAAGACTGTTGCTTCCTGTCTGGAGGAGCCAGAGAGGAACGCGTGCAGATTAGGCCTTCATTGTTTCCTTGTATGTTAACTGTAGCCAGTGGTAGTTCTGTGAGTTTGTTAAGTCATGGTTGTGTACTTCTTCACAGAAGAAATAAGACCCTTATTTCTGTCAGCCAAGAGGAAGGAAGAGATGTGTTTCAAAACTCCCCCATCATGATGCATATCTTTGACTGGGACAAATGGTAGGTTCTTTGGCTTTGGAATACCATGATGTGGTAGTGTGCATGATGGCTGTCACTGAGAAGTGAATGTTTCACACAACAGAGAAGGGTGGCATTTTGAGGTTCCTATTCAAGATGTTTGTTCTGGTATGAGTAAAAAAAATAAGACAATATCTTTTTCTTTTTCATTTGGCCTTGAGATAGTTTTATTTTTTAAATTTCTTAGCAGGGTGGGCATGTATAAAACATGCTTGGGATTCACAGTCATGAAACTATAAGGAAGCCACACACAAGTCATGTCTATCTAATGCTCATGTCCACATGACAGTGAACATACCACTCAGGGTAGTGCTTTTAAAAACTACAGGAAGGGTGTGCAACTGAATATGACTATTTGAAATTCAATATGCTTTCTTTCTAGTATTCTTCTTCATATAGTATTTAAAATACCACTTTGAGCTTGTAGGCATGAAAAATACAATTTCTTTCCCATTTCACAGTTGGAAAAACTGAATTACAGAGAACAATGTTAGTAATTATCCATAATTAATAGAGGTGTATATGCAAATCAGTCTGAATATGTGTGTGAAATTAGATGTAGTGATGCCAGACAGCCCTATTTCTGTGTTTTTAAATACTTTCATGTAAATCTCTGTGTTAGTCAGGCATACAAATATGACTTTCCAAAAATGTATGGATAATAAAGTGACTATTATGTATGTATGTATTGTAGTGTGTATAACAAATTAGATGAATCATTGCAGCTTGTTAGATAGGTGCATATCTAATGAGCATTATGAATGCATACCTACTGTTGGTTAGTAATGCATTATATAGATTTATGTATGGCCTAGGTTTAACAAGAGGTATAGTGGATTTGGGTATACTTTGGTCATTAAAATGAGTGGGAAGAAATAAGTATTAATTTCTTATGATTGTGGAGGTTGATTAAGATAGTTCATACACAAGACCTTAGGATGAATTGGTAAGTGAGAAACACACTAAGTATGTTAGGTATTATTATTATTCTTCATACTACCAGTGTTGTACAAGATGAACCTGTTAGATTTAGGAGTTGACAGGGTTATCTTCTTCTTGATTTCCAGCATGATATGTTCAGAAAATAAATGAAAATGTGAGGTGTATCCAGCCATCTCTGCAGCATTGGATATATGCAGTTTTTTTTCCCTTCTATTCTCTTGGAGTCTGATTTAAAAAAGAAGATCCAGGTAAGGTCAAGGGTATCTCTTTCTATATTGTAGGTAGGGTCTGGCTGTTTGGATGCCAGATTTGCCCATAAGGACACCAGTCTCCTTTGGGAAGAAGACAAAGCAAGGCAACTTGAAATTTATGAAAACCTGGTTTGTTTGCAGGGTAGACTGTACATTTTGTAAAAACTTTAATTTGGGGGAGTTCGCTTTGTTTTCAGAGTGAGGTTTGAGATAGCTGTATTAATCATGCAAACCCAGCCATGTGCAATGTGTTTTATCAATGGAAAGACAGGGAGTGAATGGTAAGCAGCTGTGAACGAACCCAGCGCAAGGCCTGAACCTGAAAGATAATCTTAGCATTTCCCAGATCTACTTGCCACATGGTGTTAGTGATTGGAAAGGCTGTTCACTTGGGATAAATAATCAGATGGGAGAAAAACAAGTGAGACACATTCATTCCTGTCCTTTAAAAAAATACAGTAATAGTATAGGCAGCAATTGGAGAAGGGTGGGCTGATAAAACCCGAAGAGCCACATGCTCAAGGGAAACTTTGCTCAGAAGCCATAAAGACAAAACAATGGTGGTTGACCTTGTCCTCCTTTCTTACACTTGATTTTCACTTTCTAATGCTGTTTTCTTGCTTCTGACTGAACACATCTTCCTTCTCAGTATGAGGGCATCTTCCAATAAGAGGAAAGGTTACATGCAAGTTGGCTGAAGGGAGACACCATCACTGCCCAGGCTCACAGAAACTACTGGAAATGGCTCAGCCAAACAGAGTGAGAAAATAGCCTCAGAAATTTAGAACTGGTACTTCCCTCATTTTACAATTCAGAGGATTTTTCTGCAGTGATATAGCTGAGGTGTTTATGCAAATATATGCAATTCAGGACGAATTTCAGAATGAATAAATCTAAATTAAAATTAACGGGAAAATCTAGCTATCAGAAATAAATCAAGGAAGGAATACCACTCATTTTCCATATATAACGTTAGTTAATATCCCAATTAATAGATATGTATAGTAACTAGGGAGGAGGGAAGCACCTGCTTTTCTTTGTTTCAGGTTTGGCCTAGAAGTAAGGGCACTGGACAATCTCCAACTGGGCACAGGCAATATATATTACCCTTTGGTGTCATCCCAGTATTGTGGTATCACTGCAGACATGGCAGTGCATTCCCAAGTGACCTGAAGGTCACTGGTGGTTGGGGACAGGAGAGGCTGAGAGGGGTGACCCTCTAATGTGTGGCACTAAGGAGGATTCCATTGCTATGAAAAGTGTTTCTGCTGGCTTATGGTCAGGGGATGAAGTTTTCTTTCCTATTGAAGGAGAACAGACATCAAGAGGTCATTTTGGCTTTCAACTCTCTTTCAAGTCACTTTTTGACTTTCAAATCATCTTAAGGAAATCAATTGGTCTAGCATCCTTCAAGTCATTTGTCTCAAACAACAAACACAAGACATAGTTAATACTTGGGGGAAAGAAGTTAAGTTTCTAAACAGATGATGACAATATATAATAGCTAATTAAATAAAGGAGTCACATACAATAGTGGTGACCACAGTAAGACATGCTTTTATAGGTATTTGAATGCTGAATTGTCACTTTAAATTGTCACATTCTGTCGCTGTCTTCCCCCGCCCCCCATGGCAAAGTGCATGCCACATGGGAGTCCATCTTGATTGGAAAGAGAAAGAGAACGTGATTGGGTCCCTAGAAAGTTGGTGTCTTGGAGAGGGCAGGGGACTTAAGAGAACAGGACCTTCTCCAGTGACCTCTCACACCAGCTATCCCATGTCCCATGAACAGCTTTTCAATCCCTGCTAGCAGAAGCCCAAAATATTAGTAGAAGATGAACTATATCCTCTAAAAACTAAGAAGTCTAACTACAATCTACATACAGCGCAAAATCAAACAAGGGTCATTCTCCAATCAACAATGCGGTGTGTGGGAAGCAATGTTCCACAAAAATTCAACAATGTCAGTCCCTGGGTGAGACTGCTCTTCAGCATTCGGCAGCTGTCCTCTGTGAACAGTGCCTGGCATTACTTTGTTCAACTACAATGCATGATCAGATAAATATTTGAGTTTGTGGCTTCAGAGCTGCTGTCACAGAGACATTCAGAGGCATCCTGATACTGTGCAAAGCTCATCTTGGACAGGGCATGACCTCTTTGCAAATGTGATCCACAGGGGCAGATGTATGCGTATGTGTGTTTTCCTTATCAATATATGTTTGCAAGATGCCAACATGATAAAATGGTGTCAATATCTGTGGCAACACTAGAAGCTAAATGTCTTAAAATAATTGTGGCATGTCAGGAATTCAAGATGGAATGTTTTGCACAAATGCTGCACTTCATGTCAAGTCTGAAAACCAGGCACACTTTAACAGTTTTATTTTTAGTGGCCAGGGTAAGAAACAGATTTTATTAATGCTTTAGGGAAGTTATTTTATTCAACAGAGTTCTAAGTTTTACACTAAAATAGTCTAGACTGGTCTTAAAATTTATTAAGCTGTCTTGTCAGTCCTAGAAACGTACTACTCATTGCAAATACAACTAATGCAAGTTTGCATATATGTGAATGCTTACGTATTCAAAACATTGCATTATTGACACTCCTAAGATCTCCTGCTCTGAACTGCAGGTCAGACAAGTTAATGAAACACGATTCACCTTCAAATTTATGAAACAGCAATTTTCTTCCTATAATTCTGAACACATTTTCCTTATAGTGTGTGTGATAATCTTATTTAATTGGATTTATTTTTTTTTCTACACTAGGCCCTGCATGGCCTAGTTTCCATTTTTTTCTCAAGTCTTTGAGTGTTATTTGCAAATCACTTTTCTGGGATTTAATTTCAATGGTAGGTTGGTTTCATTTCAATTTTTTTATTATTTTAATTTTATTTGCCAATTTGCCTTTAAATACCCTTAAGCTAGAAAGTTGTGGTTGTGACTTTGCATCTAAATGTGATGTAGGAGGCAAAATTTAATTTGGACCTGTAGAAAATTTCATGAAAAGAATAGAGTGACTGTTTTATAAATTGTTATTTGTGTTTTCTAAAGTATGTATGTTTAAAAGGTAAGACACTCAAGTTGGCCAAGAGTTCAGGAAAAGCAGTGTTTATGTAATTGTGTTGTGTTTAGTCTTTAGGAAGACACATTTTACAAGCAACACTATATGTTCAGACCCTATAAACATTTGTGTTTGCAATGACTATATTGCATTAATATACAATTTTGTGGGTGAGAGACCTCTAGCACACAGGTACTTGTGTTCCTGATATGGGAGCTCTTAGAGACCTATAATAAACATAGATTGATAATACATTATTCCCTGCCTATGTAACTGACAGATATAAAGGTAAGTCAGTGGAAAACTTGTTGCTCTCAACAGATTGTCTTGCTTTGCAGAGATTATGAAAAGGTAACTTCTACTAAATGTGAATTTTGAGAATGTGGTTTCCACTTTTATGAGTTTTGCATATTATATGTTGGAGAATGACCCAGGAACAGAACCACGGTGATAAAAATCATACTGACCTTGAATGGGGTGGGGGACTGTGGGTAAAACACGCTCTAAAGGGGAAAAATGGTAAACATCACGGAGTGTTTAAATATACACATATTCTCAAGGTTAATTACTCAAACAATTGCAGAACAGGAATTTCCAAGTCTATAGAATCTTATCTCCCATGCGGTGTTTATTTGTTCTTCCTGCTAAATATCAAAGACAAATATCAATGAAATTATAAATATAAAACCTGCTTTTTTTTTTGTAAGAGTAGGGAGCTAATATCAGTGGTAACCTTCCATAGAGAGTCCTCTTCTCTGCTTGAAAACCCAATACCGAGATGTTGAGATGACATCTTTTTAGGAAGAGGAAGCAGAAAAGATTGTAGAAATTATTAAATCTTTCTTGGTCCTGGTGCTTGTCTCTGGCTCATGATAGATGGAACTAATGCAGCTACTACCCTTTTCTTCTCCCTTATCCTGTAGCTTTTATCAGCTTTATTCAAGCATCTGGAAAACTTATTTTGGGAAACGCTAACTCACATTTTTCTCTCAGGGGTTTAATTTACATAATAGTGATGTCAGAGGAAGAAGGCTCCTTGGTAGTATGTTTTTTGGAATACTAGTTTTATCTAAATTTAGTCCATCCCTTAGTCCTGCTCCTTGCTATCTGAAATTTGATTAGCCAGTCAAACTTTGATGATACATCCTGTTAAATAATAGCAGGTATTTTTGTTTGAACACTAGGGTCTAAAATATATGAGTATCTATGGAAAACAAAAATCCCAGGATAGCAAAAACAATCCTGTACAATAAAGGAACCTTCTGAGGCATCACCATCCCTATCTTCAAGCTTTACTATCCAGCTATAGTAATAAAAATAAACGAGTCTCTCACTCTCACGGCCCCATACTTGACCTTCTTCCTATGAATTAAATATACTGATGGAGTTTATGTTTTAGAGTGTCTCTCTCCTTCCTCCTTAATATTCTAGATTTGACTCTAAATCCTTCTGGAGGCTCTTTCAGCAAGGTAGAATAATGTGGTAGAGACAGGGCTCCCTACTTGTCAACTCCTAACTCTATCCATATCATTCTTTCTAGAAGGTTATTTAAATACTGTCAAATGAAAACCAATAAAAATGAAGCCACAGAGAGACAAACGCATTCAAGTTTGTTCTGCCTTTCACCTTGTACTGTAATGTCTGTAAGGAAACGTTGATCTTTCCTGGTCTTCAGGTCCTCCATACATCTGGTCATTGAGTTCCAGGCATTATGGGATGTACTCTCTAGCTTGACTGAAAGTTGCAGGTTAAATATGAAAGCTTCCTAAGGGCATTAAGATACAGCAGTTCAAAAATAAATATTCAGAGAACAATTGTGTCTTAGTTATATAAGTGCCAAATAGAAAAAAATGATTTAAACCTTCAGTGCATATTTGCTATTTAGTTCCGGCTTTGAAAATGAGTATTTGAACTGCTCTCAGCATTTATATAGCAGTTGGAGACCACTGTCCTGTACTATACTCTCTCTACTGCGTTTTATTTTATTATTACTATTGTTATTCAGAGTGTTTAAGTGACTTAGCTTAATATTTCCTCATCACGCTGTTCACAGCTGGATCAACGCACTCTGCCCTGATTTTCACAAAGGGCATTTATAGTGCTAAAGCCTGCTACCTTCTCTACATTGCCTTTACAACTGCTTCCCAGCTGGTGAGTACCTTGTTAGTCTCACCCTCTTCTCATCATTTTAGGCTTATCACACCTCCTTAATTAGTCTTGTTTCTTCCTTCTATCCTTTTGGCTTATCTGCACTTAGATGCTTTCTCATTCCTGATTTTTTTATCCTCATTCTTTCCACTATTATCCCATTACCATTTAAATTTTACAGCAGGAGTTATGAGCTCCCTTAAGAGTAAAAGTGAGCTGAAAAATGCAGTAGATATCAACAGAAACAACACAAAACAAAACAGAAGGAAAAAAACAAAGAAAAGAAAATTTCAAACTATTGATTTTCAAAAACAGAAAAGCACATCTTGGACCTCTGTGTTTCTGCCTTGGATTTGGATGCTCAGTGTCAAAGCAGTTCAGTAGCTGAGCCAGAGATCGTAGGCACAGATTGAACTGTTAGCCCTAGAAAGACAGGCTGTGGCTTTTTGCATGGTCCTTAACTCTGGGTTTTCCTTTTCTATTGGTTGGCTCTGTTGGATATCACAAGAAAAAACTAAATGGGTACTAATGTTTCACAAGGAAGCATTTTGAATTGACTGCACCAGAAAGACAAAGCTGGAATGGAAGGTAAGGTGTTTATATCAAAATAATTCACTAACTCAGATTTTATTTTATTATGATTGTTACACAATTCTTCCTGAAACTCTGCTCTTTTGATGCCCATTTTTTGAAATAAAAAGCAATCCACGTGCCCTTTTGCTTCCTTTTGTATGTACAGAAAGTCTTTGAAGGAGTTAGTGTCTATTCTTTTATAATGTGTGGGGTTAGAGCTCAATAATAGCCCTTGTTATTATGAGGAATCTGTAATATTCTGATTAAGGAGTCTCCTAAATATTAACTACACCAAACACGGTGTACCTTCAACACCAAACTCCTAAAATAATAACTTAGAATGTTTTCTGAAGGATAAGGGGAGGTCATGGACTGCTTGTGCAGTTTTGCAAATCTAGTCAATTATAAGTTTATAAGTTAATGATCATTTTAAAGGTAAAAAGTAAAATGAAAACACACCCCTGAACACTGGCATATAATGGGCCAGTGTAGTGGTCTTCGTATTTTTATTCTTTTATCTTTAATATTCTTGATGCCCGAGCATTGCACATATTTTTATGAATTTATCAACAGAACTCTCCTTTAACGTGGAAACAAACCACTCACCCAGAATGTTAGTTGAGAATCTCAACATTTTAAAGATTTAATTCCCTAATCTAGGACTCAGTACCCAGGCTGATGGGAGTTAGGGGGGCATGAGAATGGGAGATGGAAAATAAATGACTTTTCACCATAAAAAAAGAGAGAGAAAGAAACACAGCACAGTGAAGGGTCAGGAGAAAGGCTCATGACCTGAAGAGGAAGAAATTTGATGTTTCTTCACCTCCACATCACAAGTTGTGGCCCCCGACATTTTGTCTATATAAATACATAACATGTTAGTTTAGAAACTGCTTCTGGAAACATCAGGCTCAAATTTAAATCTCAAACTCAGCTTATATATCACTTTGCTTCTCTACTTCCATAAGCACTGTGCAGTAGGGAGGGAATAATGAGAAGGTAGTGAGGCTGTCCTGACGGTTACATGACAAGCAGGTGAAGCAAGCGCTGTACATAAGCCTCACTCGGGAAGAATTAACAACACTCAAACCATTGCTCCCATCTTCCCTCCCAATCCATTCTGCTAATGGAAACGTAAGCAAAGCACTGTGAAAAGATACAGCCATCATCTTGGGGGTAAATCTCAACTACCAGCCTAAGAGCATTGAGATGGTTATACTCCCTGTGTAGACTATGAAACCTCTCGTGGTATCAAAAGAAATACAAATCTTCGTTTATAGCATGAACACTGCTCTGTCTGAGCAGACCAAGGAGCTGAATTCCAGCCCATGAACATACCACATAGTTTGGGGATACCACATGGTTCAGGCATGAAGAAAAACACCTAAAAGGTATTATTCAAATACAAGCACGAGTCTTTGAAAGAATACTAGAATGTGTGAAGAATAAGAACAAATGAACGTAAACTGCTTCCCCTGGCTTAGGAAGAAAGTATTATAAACACAACATATTCTTGCACCGTCATTCAGTTATTTTGACCCCTCTGGAGAGGTGAATAGAGAGTGGAGAAAATAAATAAATATGTTGCTGAGATCAAGGGATGGCAAATTGACACTGCAGAAGTCAGCATGCCACTGCGGTGGACTGGGCAGGAAATGTGCTGAGCCCACCATCTTGGATGAATAATCATGAACTCAGGGACTCTGGCTCTAGGTCTCTACCTGCTGCTGCCTCTGGCTCACAGCAGCTCACCAGCTGCTGTATGTGCTCTGGCCTAGCTTGGTCAGCAGAGCACCCCACTGCCCACACAGTGCTTCTTTCAGAGCCTCCTGACACTGGTGGGTGGAGGAGGAGCAGCCACTGCCCTTACAGGGACACTTCCTTCCCTTCCCCTTTAATCTTGTTGACTTTGAGTTGAATGGGCAATCTACTTACACACGCCCTGTGCCCTGTCTTTTCTCTCTTTCTTTCCCCCTCCTTTATCCACTCACCCCCATACTTCTTTCTTTGCCTTCTTTCTTCCTCCCTCTCTCTTTCTTCTTTAACCCTGTGCAAACTGGGCTGCAGTAAAGTCCCATCTTCAAAGTTCTAGCTGTGCAGGCTTTAATGACATGCTTCCTGAACCTAACTAATGGAGTTGGGGTGGGCAGGAAGGCACCCTGTTCTTACTGCAAAAGAGACACAACTTTTCCCCTTGAAGTCCTTAACTGGGCTTTATGTCTAAGAAACAGAGTTCTTGGTTGCTTAATTTTCTACAATGTCAATAGCTCCTTTCCCTTCAAAGCCTAAGAAACAGAGTTCTTGGTTGCTTAATTTTCTACAATGTCAATAGCTCCTTTCCCTTCAAAGCCTAATGACCTTTCATTGGTGTTTAGTAAGTACACAACCTCTCAACTTTTTCATTGGGGGAAAACAATCCAAAACCAAGGTGAAGGCATATGCTGTGTCTACATGTTGCTAAATGCAAAATTATTACTTACACGTGATGCTGTGTAGAGGGCAGTGTGGGATCACTGGGAAGATGGCCACCACTGGCTACAGCAATGTGTACTTCACAGTGGAAGATGATGTCCCCAAATCATGAAGGTCTCTATGAACTAAATATTTGACCAATTCCCTGATTCTCAGTTTAAAAAGTGAAATTCTCTAAGATTCTTGATAATTCTGCATTTTACCATGTTAAATCGTTTTGTGGGTCATTGGGATGTGGCATTTCCCTTTCACCAGCCCTATGAGTGTCTTCACTGTCTATAACTCAGTCGTTGCTCTGCTTCTCTGGTGTGAGTACTCTCTCCTCAGCTTTTCCTTCCCTAGCCTTAAGGCAATGTTTCATTTATTCCTTGAACTTTGTGAGTAGCATGCTTTTCTTATTCTCTGTGGGATGGGAAGAAAATGTCTTTTTGTTTGTTTGTTTGTTTTGTTTTGTTTTCTGAGACAGGGGTTTTTCTGTAGCTTTGGAGCTTTTCTTGTAACTTGCTCTGTAGATCAGGCTGACCTCAAACTCACAGAGATCTGCCTGACTCTGCCTCCAACGCCAGGCAAGAAAATATATTTTAAGTGATGTATAATTGTTCATTTTTCTAAATAACTGGATTGCTGCTTTTTCTATTTTTGATCCCCTTAAAAACGTTTTTTTTTGTTTCGTATATGATGCTGTACTTGAACAGGTCCTCTTAGGTTTGTCCGAATCTCAGATTTATCATTGCGGCTGGGGTTTGCCTATACCTTTGGATATTCTTACATCAGGGAGGAACAGAGTAACTACATTTCTTAATTTATAGTTCCCTAAGTTTCTGGTGGGTATTGATGTCTCCATTTGGTGCAGAGAATATTTACATTTAGTCTTTAGAGACAAGTAAACAGGATCGAGTTCTCCGCTTTACACTGATGTAGCGTTTGATCTATATCTCATCAAACTACCACAGGCTGAAGCCAGGGGGAGTCAGTTAAGAATGAGAAAGTCAAGGCCACAGTTAGGGTAGCTTGTGATTGTTGTTTTTCAAAAGTGGTTTGAGATCTTCAGCAGTTTTCAAAGATCGTTAATACTATCTTTCAAGAGAACTCACTTAAATTGATTTTTCTTCCCAGAATCTTTTTTTCTTGAAGGTTCATCTAAATTGAATACAACAAGATGAAGACATCTTTCTTAGCTATAGTACTTTTTTTTTCTTCAGTTGAGCACATATAGAGGGGGAAGCTTTTAGTGGTTTGTTATTTTAAAGTAATAATAAAACTTTTAAAGCATTTTCTATTTAATCTATTTATTTGTGGTTCAGAAGGCTCTAACCATTCTGCCTTCGTTACTCTGATAAGTAAGGGTTCCTGTTCCACATATTATCATCTTTCTAAAATCCCATTCAGCAAACTGTCTGTCAGGGACATTTGAATGTGGAATTATAGCTACCTGGACAACAAGACTGTGGAGTTAGAAATATCACTGAACATACTGCCAGTGATCATGACTCCAAGGTGAGGTCTCTTAGCAGTCACACCTCTGAAAACACAGCTTACTTCTCAACTGTCTTTCAGTGTCTTCTTTTCTCTTCAGAAATGTACTATCTCCCACTATGCCACTTGTGCTGCAAATGGTGTACCAGAAAAGTGAAGTCCTTGCTGTCATGGGGAAATTGTCCCACAGCCTCTTCTCCTTCAAGCTTTATATTGTGCTTCAGTCATTCATTCTACCCTTCCTCTACATTAGGAAAATCACTTTGTTTTGCCAGCCTTTCCTTTTCCTAGGACTTCATTGACTCTCATGGGTATTTCTTTTCCCAGTCACCCTCGTTGCTGGCATATTCTAACAACCATCCATTTCCTAGCCCTTAAGTCACCTCAGCTTCTTAAAGAGGCCATAACAAAAGAAATATATGTCCTTTGAATATTTTTGAAGAGTAACCAAACAGGAAAAACATGAAACTAAAGAACACAGATGAAACAATGGGCAGTTTTCCAAAGTAAGAGAGGTAGAGAAGAGTTCTTCCTGTTTGTAAATCATGATGTTCACAGAGAGTGGGAACCTCCATTCTGATTTCAGTGGGAATATTCTTATTTTTGTGTAGGTTTATTTTAAGGAATGAGGGATGGTTTTCTAGTCAATGTGAGGGAACCCTGTAACTTACACTAAGCTAGGCTCTGTTTTGGCATACTTACTGAAAAGTACTAGGCTGGCATTGGTGACACCCAGCTTGTTGGCAGCCACGCAGGTATAGTTGCCATAGTGTTCCTCAGTGACATTGGTCACCGTCAGGGAGGACTGGCCCTCCGTGCTCTTAATCTCAAGGCCATTTGCACTGTTTATCCTAAGAATAACAAACAGAAGAGTTAAAAGGGATGGAGATGAAGGGCGTAGCTTGGTGGTTTCTTCTTCAACTTTACACTGAAGTTTTTAAAAAAAGAGGAGAGGCAATAGAGGGCTTGTTATATATCCTCACATATTATAATCATGTAACTTTTATTATCAGAACTGATGCCCATCCATAGAGAAGACATACCAATGGCTGAGTTTCACTAAAATTAAGTTTCTACTACATTCAAAAAACATAAATAGGTGGAAATTATCAACTAGACCATATTCCTCACTATTTAAATGTACGTGAGTGTTTTGGGGTTCAGCTTAAGGGCTACAATCTCCAAGGAATGTAATAAAGGAGATGTTGTAAAAAGTACAAAATTACAGATGGCCGGGGTCTTGCCATTAGGCTCTGGGAGACTTTCTGCTACTTGGGGCATAGAGCATTGGTACATACCTGGTATCATCCCGGTACCACTCAAAGTCAGGTGCAGGCACTGCTGAGGCCTCACATTTGAGGGAAGCTTGCCGTCCTGTGGTGGCTTCATTGCTCTTGGACTCCGTGATAGTGGGTGGATCTGTAGTAAGGGCAGATAGAGGGGTTTATTATGTGAGAGGCAAACACTGCTCCAGGGACAAAGAGCTGCTATGGGAGTGTCTTTCGGAAGAATAGGGACACAGTTTACATGGGAGTTGGAGGAGGCTCTAGAATTGCTACCCCAGGTAGAGTTATAAGAGGTATCTGGTTGGAGAGAGAAAGGAAAGTGATTGCATGAAAGCATCATTGACACGCCTCAAGATCAATTGAATGGCAATGGTCACCAGAAAGCTAAAGTCAAATGAAAAATGAATCAGTTTATATAATGAAACACTGGATATAATAGTGCTTTATGGGAATGAAACATAACATTTCTTTACCCCTCCCCCTTAGTCATTCTAATTGCTATATATATTATCTGTGATATTTTTTCCAGGAAGTGGTGAACCCAAAGGATAGTTTTCAGATTTATTTTTTAATTATGTGTATATCTGTATGTCTCTGTGGGGATATGTATATATGAGTTGAGTACTGGAGCCAATAGAGTTCAGAGAGGATACTGGATATTCTGAGATGGAGTTACAGGTAAGCTGTGAGCCATCTCACATGGATGCTCAGAACCTGAATCAAGGGTCTCTCCAAGAGCAGTACTTAGTCACTGAGAAAATACACCATTTGGCCATTTCCTTTTTCTCATTGCTATTATTAATATAGGTAGAAATGGCTTTGAGGAATCGAATGAAAACATGAGGGTGAAATTGCTCCCAAGCCAAAACTTTGCCATGTTTTCAAAGGACTCCAGAAACTAAAAAACAAGAAAACTACCATGGGTCATTGTTTTGATCTTTGCCCCTATGTGTTCCCTTCTGTTACTACATATGGCACAAGCCAACTTTGCTTTTATATACGAATTGCAATATGATGTGAGTCATAGTGCTCAGATGACCTGCTTGTCATCAGTCTTTAATGCTCACTGGCAGTTCGATAGTGATTTGTAATTTTTGTTGCCTTTGACTGGTCCTAATGAAATTATAATTGACTTGAGACAGAGTAAAAAACTTATCTGCTAGTCTAATTTTCCATGGTTCTCTAAATAGTCTTACCAAGGAGAGACAAGACAAGTGTGATCTCCTGGGTCCAGTGATTATTATTATTTTTTTTTGCCTGTGTAAATTTTAAGAAAGATTTTTTCCAGGTTAGGGGAGCTTGGCTCAGCCACCAAAGCGCTCACCCTTTAAGCATGATCACCTGAGTTTGATTCCAAATCCCCATGTAAAAATGCACACCATAGCATGGGCTTGTAATCTAGCCTCACTGATGATTTCTGGGCCAATTAGAGGAATCTGATGGCATTTCTTGAGATGACACTTGGAATTGTCCTTAGGCCCAAATGTATATTTGCACCTGCACATACATGTTTGCATGCACACACACAAACACACCTCACAGATAAAAGAGAGACACACAGACAGAGGGAGACATAAAGAGAAACACTCAAAAGTGGGCTCTTCCAGCCAAAGTTTATTCTCCAGGCAACGGTAACTTAACTGTGTGCATGTAGAAAAAGAAGCCCAAGTACCAATCAATCTCCTCAATTTTGGTGAAGGGAAAAGCTAATTAATAAAATTAACATTTTCCTAAACAACTCATGTAAATACCTGGACTACTTCATTTCTGCTTTTCTTCTACAGGTACTCAATTTCAATGTTCTCTGTCTACAGAAACTCAGCCTGAGTTACAGTCGTGTACAAAAACATTAGTCCAGCCTACGGTTTCCTCCCATCTCATTTTGCCAACAGTATGGAATATTTTTCCCACTTTCAGAGAGAATAGAGTAAGATGTATGTAAACAACAGGCCAGGGCATTTCTGTTGTTGAGATTGTTTAGATTTAGACTTAGCTACTCATTTTCTTATAAGTACAGAATGGAAAGATGAGATATTGAAAAGCTAAATAGAAGAACAAAAATGGCAAAACCTTGAACTGAAAGTAGGGGTCCTGGGATATAGCTTTAGTGTAGTTGTGTGGAGATCTCATTACACTATATCACCTGGGCCTTGAATTATCACTTATATATGAGGGGGACTGCATTTAAAAGTATTTAACAATTATCCCAGCCCATTCTTCAAAACTGGGCTGTCTTAGTGGTCAGGAGTAGGAAGTCTGAAGATTGAGTTTAGTCTTAGCCTGTGTTTTTTAGAACCATCTACTTGAGTCCAAGTCCTTTAATCCCTCCTTATCTTTTCAAAGAAAGAGACAGCTTAAAATGAGCAGCAAGGTTCCATTAGAAAGTCTTTCTATGATTGACTACATAGGTCATCGTAGCCCATCAGGTCAAATGATAGCTCATGAATTAGATGTATTTGTGTTGATGATAGATCTATTGTTGGAGGGATGGTGTTGTGGATTATTTGTACACTGTGTGAGGGTGGAATAGGTGGGACTTTTGGGCACAGAGAGGAAGTAGGAGGAGGAATCTAGGTGCTCAAGGGAGATACCAAGAGACAAGAAGAGGAAGCAAGAGGTATAAGATGGAAGAAAGGTAATGCCCTGTGATAGAAAGTAGGTTAATATAAATGTGTTGTGAACAAGCCTAAGCTATAGGCCAAGATTTCATAATTAATAAGCAGTCTCTTTGTCATTATTTGGGAGACTTGTTACAGGATAGGTATAAAATACAGGAGGCTATAAACTTAGATTTAAATTTGATGCACCTGAGCTCAAATTGAGGCTTGGCCCCTCAGTGTTCTTCCTTACTAGAGAGTTTGGTACTTTGCCCAGAGTCACACTGCTTCAATAAAGCACTGAAACTAGCAGCAGGGGAGGTCTATTTGGAAGCTGATGAAGGAATTTAGAAATATTCTTCACCAGGTTTATGACAAAACTATGTGAAGGAGAATATACAGAGCCCCAGAAATGAACACCTAGAAAAGGGTTAGATGTAAAGGAGACGGGAAGAAAGAATAAAAGGATAACACTCATGTTTTTGTTTGGGAATCAGGAAATGTCATCCCCCAAAATAAGGTACACAAAAGTGGTGGACTACAGCCCAGTGAGTTGAGTTTGATGCAAATGCATGAGGATCTGAAAGGGCAGATAGACATATATCACTGTCCAGTCAGCTCAGCCAATTGGTGGACTCCATGTTCAGTGAGAAACCCTGACTCAAAAAAGAAAAAATACAATAGCAACAACAACAAAAAAACCAAACCAGTAAGTTACAGAATGATAGCCAAAGACACCTGAAGTTAATGTCTGTTCCTCACACATATGCACACATGTGTACTATATACACACATGTACACATGTGGATACCCGAACACACATGAGCACATCACAAATATGCATCACACACACATGTGCACACACGCACATGCGTGCACGCACACACACACAGAGTAAATGAATAACTAAGGTAGATATGACCAACAAATAACTCTGTGCATTTAATTGTGCATCCTCACTTATTTTCACCATGTTTATGTTCTTCAAACACTCATGGCTTCACAATTTGTAGCACAATGGTCCACGGTTGTTGATGAGAAAGACAATTTTGATTCCGATTCTACAGTTTATTTAATAATTCAATATTAGAAAATGAATCTTAAGATATGTTTGTTTCTGCAACTATATGCACATAGTTGATAAATCCTTAGGGAAGACTGATGCTTTATTACTCTGCCATTTACCCAGCCAGTAAAAAAAAACACACCCTAATATCCTACCATCAGCACCAGCACCAGCATCACTAGCACCATCAGCACCATCAGCATCACCAGTGCCACCAGCACATTAGGCACACTCAGAGCTGTAGTGTCTTAATATGATATTGCTGTGGTGCATTCCTTCAAATGCCTCTGCCATAGTGCCAGGATCACAGGTTCCAAATGCAGAGTTTTACGAGCATTCCTTGCTCTGACAGGTTAAGTCCATCTAGTTATTTCATATATCTATTAATTTGTGCCTATTACATGTGGGATAATTTGGTTTTTTTCTGGATAAAATAATTGAGAACACACTGGTTCTGTTTGACTCATCTTTTCTCTTTGTCCTGGTTTTTTTGCCTCTGTTTTGGAGATAGTGTTTCACTATGTTGCTCATAATGTCCTTGGACATAGGACCCTTCTGATTTAAAAGAATAGCTGGGATCATAGGTGTGTGCCACCATAGCCAGCTAGCCCTCTTTGTCATTTTGGAATTTAGTTTTTCACCAGGGGTCCTCTGTTTCACAAAGCTGGATCTAGGCTCTCTCCTTCCTGTTCTCATATAGGTAGACGATGTCCCAACCCAGGACAACTGGTGTGTGTGTGTGTGTGTGTGTGTGTGTGTGTGTGTGTGTATGTATGTATGGGGGTTAGCTGAATATGCTAAGATACTACTTCTAGTTTGGACTTCTAACATAGAAGCATTTGTGTCTTTTAGATTCATCCTTATTTCTTAATTTGTTTGGGACACCAACAGGTAAGCAACAAACTATTTATTAACCTATTAGAGGCCTAAGCAAAAGGAAGTTGGCTACAAGCTAGGGTTAGGTGCATTATTCAGAAAAAGATGACTCTGAAAAGTCATCAAGTCCAAGTGCTTGCTTCCTTCTTTTAAAACTCAGCAAGTTCCTCTTACCAAAATCAATTCTGAGATACTGATAAGGAGTACAAAAGCTTCTTTCCCCTATTATTTCTCAAATGACATCATCATCCAGGTCCTCTTCCATGAGTTATGGGAATGGACATTTCAAAGTTCATTTGGAATTAATTCTGTGTAGGTGAGGCTAAGAAAGATTATTATGAATTATAGTGTAGCTTGCCTAAGATAGCTAAAATAATAGGTGTCCTTGTTCTAAATATGGTTATAATGAAAGTGTGGTTCCTACAAATGATGCACAGGGAGATTCATTGTTACTCTTTCTGTGATGTTGGAAGACCTTACAGTTGTCAAATGACTACTCTGGATTTTATTACTTAAAAATTCCAGGTCCTGAAAACATTAATCAAGGCTGTCTTATTCTTACATCACTGATAACAAGGTATTTCCATAAGCATG